AGGATAGATCTTTTTTCAGTTTTTAAATTAAACTTAACAAAAACAAAAATGAACCAAAAACAACAACAAAAACAAAACCCTCCCACACCCCATCCCTCTTGCCACACTAAACACACACACAGCTACACAAAAATAACTACGCAAACAAATATCAACTGTCAGTTAAGTCCAATCTTATAAAAATATTCAACAAAGATGCGCATATCTGTCCGAAGTCCAGTAGTTTTCCCCATATTTAATATAAAGACTTCATGCTCTAACCACTGTAAAGCAGACTGCAGCCCACAGTGTAGTCACTTCTAATGCAAACCTGATGTGTGTCAGTGCATGGGTAAGTAGGATTATGGGAGGCTATAGGGAGCATCAGGTGAAAGATCTTCTCACATGTCATCATAGAGAGAAGTATATTATAGAGGCCTATAGGAGAAAGCAGACCTCACCCCGGTTGAATAAAACATAAGAGCACAGCTTTGGTCAAAATAATGACAGGTAACAGACTGAGCTCCCCACTGCTTCATAGATTTAGTATTCAAAGGGGCCCAAATACTGGTTTAATGAAAAGAGGCTTACGGCCACAGGCGTAGACACGACACTCGTGTGAGGAAGCAATATAACATATAACATATATATAACATAGATTAGAAAATAGTGTAATACTGGCCCTTTTAAATGCAATCAGAACTCAGTAAACAATCAAATTTAAAACCCCAAAACCTGTCAAACCGCTCTTGTCCCAGTGTACAAAGAACCAAGTAGGTGCGAATGGTGGAGCTATGAGACATTCACAGGCGTCTAGTAATTTAAGCGTAAGCACAAAAAGTTTAAAACTAAAACTAAAACGTAACTCACATCTTCGCTGCACAAATAAAAAAAGAAAACACTGATGCTGTGGTAGGTTTTGCTTTCCCTTTTAACATGGAGGATCAAAACAAAACAACATGTGCTAGTCTGCGGTGGAGAAACTGTAATTATTGCTTAAACGAATGAATAAACATCCAAACATATGTCTAATATTTGTCTGTCTTTTTGGTTTTGAACTGAACTAGGCTAGTTTTCTGGTTTTCCTGGCATGCATGTAAACATAGTGATACCTGAAAGCACCAAAACATTTGAAATATAATTCACTGATATGTATTTGGTTTGTTGTGTTATGTTAGTTTGTGTTGTTGTAATGTTTTGTAATTGTCTTTTGCGTTACCTGCCTAGGGCCAACACACAGACTGTATAAATCAGAGGTCATCAAACATTTATTTATTTTTATTTTTTCTGGGGGCCACATTATCGCTCCTGACTGTGATGGGGGGGCGGGGTCGGGGCGGGCGTATAACAGAATTGTATGACCCTGACAACAGATTATATTCTTTGAAAACCACCACACTTTCTTTACATATCAGACAAACTGCACAGCTCTTACACTGAACAAAAAAAATTGGTCGTTCACTGTTCTTTGAAAACTCTGCACTCTCTTTTTCACTTTTCATACTTTAACACAAGCCATTGTGCTGTCCTTAACTGCACTATAGAACTCTGCACGTGTGTTGACTGTCACTGTTTGAGCTCAAGCTTGTCAAGTGACAAAAATACGGCGGCAAATTCAGCACCAAATGTCCTTTTTTAATTGAAAAAAAACAACAAAATACAAGATGCAGACATGTTATTATTTGCCAAAAAGTAGTAAAAAAAAAAAAAAAAAAAAGGCCATAACAACGTTTGAGGATTGCCTCATTGGGCCAGTTCAAGAGGTGTGGGGCAGAGGGACTGGAGTTGGCCCGCGGGCCTTAGTTTGATGACCCCTGGTATAAATGGGCATAGCTGGGTAAGTGAGCATGGGTGCGCTTCCAGCTCCATCGACTCCAGTTCCAATTCACTTTGTATTGAAAATATATGTTGTTGATGTCAAGGCTCCTAATTTTGGTCTTAAAATGTTTGTACTAACCCTGTCTACATCTTGGTGTTTTTGCTTTTTTCTATTTTGTCCGTAAGTCAATTCCTATTTCTAATATGGAACTCGGCTATTATAACTGCAAACCTCAGTGAGCTTTATTTGACTGGAGCTAAATGCTATGAGTGACGTCACACTCCCTTAGTCCACTTCTTTATACAGTCTCTGGAACAACAAAAGAAAATGAATACTTTTTATGCTGGCATATTTACTCTCGCTCCTTTTACTAATACATGCTGTTTTGAATTACATCACTTTTAAATTATGTAGTGCAATCATCTCACAACCTCCATTTCAGAGCTACTCAACCCCCATAATTCCCAAATGGCAATTCCCCCAATTATATGTAGTAATAATTATAATGTGATTTGGCATAAAGTGATTTGGCACTGTATAACGATTAGTATTAGTCTTAAGCTCTTGCGGTTGTTTCAAATTATAACTCATTTTTAAAACACTTTTCAGAGTCTAGCATTGGCAAAAAACACTTTGCGCATAGACATAAAACATAAAATAATGTCAGCAATACACAGCAACAAAGTCCTATAAAATGAATTGATATAAAAACACAGAGGTACTGACTACGGCTGGTCCACGTGGTCTGAGCTGCCCTATAGTATACATATGTGTCTAACCTATTGATTTCAATGTAATGACTACACTGTGTATGGGAATGTCTAACGATCCAGCCGACAGCACACAGAACAGGCTGCCTTTGTAGCTAACAAGAGAAACTCGCACTTGGGTAAGCCCTGTATGTGAGTATGAGCTCCTCTGGGAAGTGCAGGCTATGTGGAGGTAGAGGTTTGATGCTACGATGCAACTGCACACAACATTTGGTCTCTAAAGAATGTGGGCATGTAAAATTACTGTATAGCTAAAGCTGGAGTACCCGACTTGTAAAAGGGTAAATTTAGTTTTTACCCCATATTGTTAAAAATCCTGCAGTATATTACACAGAATTTACTCTTGTGAGCTTCTCTCCATGTTAGAATGTTGTTACCTCCTCAAAAACATATCTAGAACTGTCTTTTGTTTCATTCACACATGTTTGAATAATCCTTTATTTTTAGTCTGTCTACATCTCCAAAGTGGATGTCAGGAAGTGGTAGTTTTCAAGTTAACAGCATTTTTTTTTTACCTTTAGTTCAGTAGAGATTGGAAATTCCTGGGCTGAAATTATCGAAATGATTCTAGTGTAGACGTACGCAGTTTAAAAACACAGTGGAGCACTTCATGTATTACTATGACATTAGTTTGAGAGAAGAACACAACCTAAATATGCATGATTTATGTGTTAAACTTGTGTGAATGAAACAAAACACAACCCCAGGTATGTTTTTGATGAGGAAACAACATTTTAACATAGATCAGAAAATGGCTTAATAAAGGTCCTTGAAAGCAACATTGTGTGCTGTTTGCTGTTCTTTGCTTGCTATCTGAGTTATATAATATTAGAGATGTACCAAAAGAGTTTGTGAGAGCTATAAGGACAAGACATGGATCACAGTTTATCCTTCCTTTCATGTTCTGAAAACTAAATAATACTCAGATTTTTGTTGTAATACAGCAAGTTATATTCCGTGCCTCTAACCCTTGCCTGGCTCAGTATTAGTTTTTGTTGAATATGTGTTATGCAAATACCATTTATTCATTAGATAATACTCCCTCTTGACCTCCATCTGGCAGGATAGTACTATCACAGGGTTTGTTTATGCGAGAATGCTTGCGGGAAAAACAACAAAATATTTTATCAGAAGTGCCTTTCGTTTAGACAGTGATGGCATTTTTGGGGCTTAAAAATGCAAAAATCTGAAACCACCCTCCAGAGTGGAAAAGTTGAATACACCCCGCCGTAGCGTTTCCGTCTACACTGCCCAAGACGCAAAACTCTGGTCAGATCTGCTCACATCCTATATCCGTTTACATCACATACAGTACACAGAAACAAACATGTCGGATAATTTTCAGCTGCTCTGGCAACTCTAATAAACTTACAGAAGGCATCCCAACAAATGTATAGAATATGCAAAGATACTATTAGTGAACAGAGAAGGATCTGCAATTACCTCTGTCAAATTACGGATGCACGAGTTCGTCACAGGCGAGCCAGACGCCTATGGACGAGACCTGGGAGAAACAGTCGATGGTGAGACAACTTGACAACTGATGAAAATGCGTGGTGTGAAAACTTCCGTATGTCCAAAGATGCACCTTTTCTTTAAGTACAAGCATACCCGGTCGAATTCCACACACTTTTGCATCACCGTATGTATGCAGATTTCCTCCTGAAAACAATCGTCTAAGCGTGGAATAAAAAGTGAAGATGCGACGCCACTTTTGCGTCTTCTGTTCAGACCGTCATCATAAAAACGTAGCCACAGTCTAGAATGTAAAAACACCAATTTACTGTAGCGATATATAAACAAGAATAGCTGATTCATAAGCACCAGTAGCCAAGAGAAAGTGAACTAATTTATATCCCTGTACATGAAGTACTGCTCTGTAAAATACAAGCACTTGTCAAAGCACTTTATCATATGAGTCTTTATTTATTGACTTTAGGGTCACGCTCTCTGGTGTTGACTTGCCCTATAGAACTGCAGGACTTAAGCCTGTGCATCATTACAGATATTTCAACTGCCATGAATCTTATAATCACACTAAAACATATTATGTGTCAGCGAGGGTGAGTGAAGTGTCTTGCCAAGGGGGAAACAATAAAATATGCTAGTAGAAGCTTGTCACGGGTTTCAGAATGATGAAAAAATAGGATCATTACCATAGTGATTAACAATTTAATACGAGATCTTGTATCTTTTGAATGGGAAAAGTACTCAAAATGTCACATATTTCAGGAAGCTGAAAACCATGAATATACCATTTGATTTTTGTAATTTTATTTGGCAGATCACAAATTGGAAAAAAAAAGAAAAAAATATTCAAATACACTTTTCCTTAATGTTTTTATATGTTAAAATATATTACCTGCTCATGAATACTGTATTAAAATGCAAAGTGACCTAATATTTGCTCCTCATTTCATCTCGTTCTGCAGGGGTGATGTCTGCCACGGGAAATGGATATGTGATTTACTTGAGCATCAAACGCAAGACCAAACTGAAGCCTCCTGAACTCATGACTGTTAACCTGGCCATATTTGACTTTGGGATATCAG